GGGAACATGGATACAGGGCCGAGGTGAAATGGAGAGGGCTTGGAAACCAAGGTGGACTGGGGAGACAGAGGACTGGGAAAGGACTGGGATAGCCTGGGAGGGGGTTGGCTGGTTGGCTGAGATAGACAGTAGGGTACTGGGACAGACTGAGGCATCTGGGGGGACCGGGGACAGTATGGGGTAAGGAAACGCGATTTCAGGTGCAGCTTTTCCGGGCTGGGCAGCCCCTGGCACCATCCCCACAGCCCCTGTCTCCTCTCCCTGGCAGGATCGTCCCCCCAGTGCCGATGGCCACACTCCAGACCCAGCCCCGGGGCAGGGCAGCCAGTGTGACAGCCCCAAGCAGACAGCAGGGCAGGAGAGCCCAACACTCCCAGTGCCCTCGGCTGTGAAGGTAATGCCTATGCCTCAGGGCTGCCCAGGAGACACAAGCCCAAAGCTGCATCCAAGCCTGAAGTGTCTCTGTGCTGCATCCCACCTGTGTGGGAGGTCTGTGGCTCTGGCCTTAAGGACTTTGGATAATGCAGGCAGTGTTTGTGTCAAATGCTGTCATTTGATTCATTGTGTAATGGTACAGCATTATGCCTTGCTAGAGGCAATTGCTTGAGGAAAGATCCCCTGGGGCTGGAGCAGGGGGAGATACAAGGCAACACTTCCAGGCAAGGAGGGTCATTCTCCATCTCATGTGCTCTCCAGCACAACTGAGATGGTTCACAGCCCTGAGGGAGCCCCCCACACCCAGGCTCAGCAGACTCTGGAGCTGGAGTGCCAGTGTGCCAGCAGGGTGCCTTGCTCTGTCCCAGGCCTCTGAGGTCCCATGGGGTTGACAGGAGCACTTCTCACAGCTAATTCCCTTTCTTCTTGGACCAACAGTCCAAATCATCCAGCGACAGCAAGAACCGCCACAAAAAGCCCAAGGACACCAAGCCCAAGGTGAAGAAGCTCAAGTACCACCAGTACATCCCTCCAGACCAGAAGGCAGAGAAGTCCCCTCCACCCATGGATTCTGCGTATGCCAGGCTGCTGCAGCAGCAGCAGCTCTTCCTGCAGCTCCAGATCCTCAGCCAGCAGCAGCAGCAACAGCAGCAGCAGCACTACAGCTACCCTGGGATGCATCAAGGACAGCTAAAGTGAGTGACACTGTGCCAGGAACAGGATTTAGTCCTGTTACTCTCCAGACTTTCCCCTGCTGTATCCATTTGTGCCCGTGCAAGGGGATAGTTGCATGCCAGTGAATCATAAAGCTTGGGAACAGTCTGTTCTGGCGTTGTGCACTGGCCAGGGCACCTGGGACCTGCTGCTGGGGCACCAGCAACCTCCTGCAGCTCAGCCTGGTTTCCCTTGAGGCTGACCATCCTCAGGTCTCACAGAGGAGACAGCAGCCCCAGGGGAGCAGAGGGGTGAGATGCTGGGCACAGAGACCCCAGGAGGGCAGACAAGTTACCCTAAATCTCCTTTGTTATTTCAGGCAATCCAATGAGCAAATGGTCAAAAGCTCAAATTCTTCATCAACTTCTGTCAACAACACCCCTCTTTCTCCGGTGAAAACCACCTTTTCAGGCCAGACTTGTGTCTCATCTATCAAGCCAGGCCCTCTGCCATCCAACCTGGATGATCTCAAAGTGAGTGCAAGGTTTGCAAACTACAGGAGCACAGCCTGAGTGTGCTTTGCTGCCCCGGAGGTGGCAGTGGAGTGACACAGGCTGGGAGTGAGCTGTGTTAGAGGTCAGCACACCTAAACCACTGTGCTTTGAGCAGGAGTACAGCATAGCACACTGGGGCAGGGTTGGTCACCGTGGTGGTACCTGAACGTGAGGGTTTGCTGCTGAGCAGATGGTGAGGGAGTGCATTGCTCCACTGTGTGTATCAATAAACCTTAGGTCTAGCTTGGAGAGGCTGCAGGCCAGGCCAAGGTCAAGGACTAAAGGAGCTGCTGCTCCTGCAGCTCCTGGCCCCATCCCATCTGTGGTTTTGTTGTGGACATCAGGGATGCTCTAGCAGAGCAGCCAGAAGCCAGGAGGTCAGCATGGCCTCCCCATAGTGACTCAGCTCCTCAGTGGTTACTGCAGCTCAGCATGAGCAGTATCTCCTGCTACACACACTGCTTTGACCATCTGTCATGTGGGCAAGACAGAGCCTCTGTCCTTTGGGACAATCACTCACATCAGCAGTGCTTTAATACCTTGCTAGGGGACCCTCAGCCCTGGGAAGGGCCAAGTTCTTTTAGGAGCAGAGACCTGGAGGAAACATTCATTATTAGAGGTAGAAATAACATGAGCTTGGTCACAGTTCAGGTGACTGAATCATGTGCAGATGCCTGACCATGGAGTATGTGGCTCCAAGGTATGTGGTCACATTCCCTGAGGTGTCAGCTGGTTCCTGGTCTGTGTGAAAGTCCTCTGCTCACAGAGAAACCTACTGCTAGGGAGGGAATCTTGGGTTGCCTCCATGGCCCAAAGACCACTGCTGGTTCATGGAGAGGAGAGAGTTGCTGGAGGAAGGTTTTCCTGTTAGGAAAGATTGAGGTCCTGCAGGACATGTGGTGGTCAGGCCTGTGCACGGTGACTCTGGTGACTGCAGGTGAGACAGTGAGCACCTGGGAGGGAAGATCCCTACAGCTCTGGGAGCCTGTGATCTGAGGTCCTTGTCAGAAGTGTTGGGTTTCTAAAGGGTTCATCCCCCACTGAGACTGACCATGGGTGACTTTCCTTCTAGGTGTCAGAGCTGAGGCAGCAGCTCCGGATACGAGGTTTGCCTGTGTCAGGCACCAAAACAGCCCTGATGGAGCGGCTGAGACCCTTCCAGGAGTGTGGCAGCAACACAGTGCCCAACTTCAGTGAGATCACCACCGTCACCTTCCCAGTCACTCCAACAAGCACCCTGTCAAGCTACCAGTCACAGTCCTCCACCAGCATGTTATCAAATGGCTTTTACCACTTTGGCAGCACCAGCTCCACCCCACCCATCTCACCAGCCTCCTCTGACCTCTCTGTGAGTGGCTCCTTGCCAGACACTTTCAATGATGGGCCTATGTCCTCTCCACAGTTTGGTCTCCAGCCATCTCCAGTGCATGGCAGTGCTGAGGAAAGCCTCATGAGCAGCATGAACGGAGGGAGCATCCAGCTGGAGCTGGAAGGAATTGACACAGAGAAAGACAAGATGTTGGTGGAGAAGCAGAAGGTCATCAATGAGCTGACGTGGAAGCTGCAGCAAGAGCAGAGGCAGGTGGAAGAGCTACGGATGCAGCTCCAGAAGCGAAAGAGAAGCAATGGCCTTGAGGAGAAGCAGCAGCCTGCTCAGCATTTCTTTGGTGTTCCCATCAAGCAAGAAAACGCTGTGTCCAGCTGTCCATTTGCATCCAAACAAACAGCCTTGAAAGGCCAGGCCAGCAGCTCGGACAAGCTGAGTAACTGTGGGGTGCCACAGGTGCCCCACATTGTAAATAGCCACTGCTTGGAGCCTGCAGGGCAAAGCACCATCACCTCCTCGACATTCCTGAGCCCGCAGTGCTCCCCCCAGCACTCTCCCGTGGGGGCTGCCAAGAGCCCCCAGCACATCAGCCTGCCACCATCCCCCAACAGCCACTACCTGCTCTCGGTGTCCCCCGGGTCGCAGGCAGACGGGCGCAGTGGGTCCCCCCAGGGCAGCACCTGCCTGCGCTCAGCCTCGGTGAGTGTGAGCACCCAGACCTCCACGGGCACTCACACAGCCCACGGGCAGCCCTCTGCTCTCAGGCTGCTGGCACCCAGGCTGTGGGGGCATGTAGGGCTGCCTGGAAAGGCACAGAGCATCCCAGATGGACAGTGGGTTGGAAGGTGATGGCACTGCAGGGTCATTTGCAGGGTATCTCCCAGGAAGCCCTGTCTCTGCACCTGGTTGCCACTGGAAAGTCCTAGCACAGGTCCACTCTTCCCTGGGGGACCCCAGCACAGTTCTCTCTGCCCCTGGGTAGGCACTGGCAAAGCTCCGTGTGTCCTGGGACAGTCCTGGCAGAGCATCCTCTGCCCCATGGAGCCCTGGCACAGCTCCCATGCCCCATGGAGCCCTGGCACAGCTCCCCTCTTCCCTGAGGGGTCCCAGCACAGCTCTCTCTGCCCCTGGGTGGGCACTGGCAAAGCTCCGTGTATCCTAGGAGAGTCCAGGCACAGCTCCCTCTGCCCCTGGTTAAGCACTGGCACAGCTCCCTCTGCCCCTGGAAGGGTCCTGGCAAAGCTTCCTCTGCCCTGGGGGAGCATTGGCACAGATTCTTTTGCCCTAAAAGAGCCCAAACCCAGCTGTCTCTCCCCTCTGGGGGAGTCCTGGCACAGCTGCCCTTGGCACAGCTCTATCCACAGCAGGGAAGCACCAGCATGGATGCCCCAGCTCCTGGGAGAGTCCTGGCACAGCTCCTACACCCCTGGGAGAGCCTGTTGCAGGGTTGCAAGGGTTTCTAGCATCTTGCTGAGCCATTGTGGCTCTCAGCAGTGTGAGATTTCCACCACTGGGTTGCAGGAAAGCAGTTACCCAGTGATGTGGGAAGCCTTTTCCTGGGAAGATAGAGCAGGACTTGTACTTGGGGTCTGCAGTCAGACTCATGCCTCCCACCAGGCCACCAGCCCAGCTGAGATGTCTTCAGCAACCAGCACTGCTCCCTCAGCCCTCTGGACAGGTACAAAAGCTTGGGGAAGGACACACATTGCCAACACAAAAAGGCAGCACAAGGTTCTGCTGATCACAGCCCCAGTTCATCCCAGTGCCCTGCCAGGGCTCCCCAGGCAACAGCACCACCTCTCACAGAGCCTGTCCCATGCACAGGGTGAAAGAGTGCACACAGGTCAGAGAGGACACAGCAAGTGCAGGTTGGGTGCTGTGTCCAAGCCCTGCAGAGGACAGTGAGGTGGAAGCCATGGGCAGTTGGCACACAGCATGGTCAGTGAGGTGGGAATGGGAGCAATTCAGGGTGAGGAGGGGCAGAGACAGAGGTGCCAGTGGGATGGGCAAGGAGGGCAGTGGGGTGGGGGTGAGGAGGGTGCTGGTAACAGTGGTTTGGGTGAGCTGTGAGGGGGCAGAGGGCAGGGGATGCAGGGGGTGAGCTCAGCTATGGGGCTGTAGAGGTGAGCTGAGCACTGAAGCAGAGCTGTGGGGGCAATGGGCAGTGGGACACAGTGCTGTGAGGTGATACTCCAAGGGAGGCAGTGCAGCTGCTCTGGACAGGGGCAGGGGACAGAGAGCATCAGAAGGGAGCAATGACAGCTCAGGAGCAGCTCCAGCTCCTCCCTCACTGCCTGAGCACAAGAGGCATGTGGAGGGCACAGCCCCATGGTGTCCTGCAGCTCATCCTGGCTGCACCACCACCTATCCTGGGCATTCCTTTCTGCCTGCAAGGGAATCCCAGGGCTGAGGGTCCTTCTTCAGCAAGAGTTCCTTCTCCGAGCCCAGCGCTGGAGTGCTGTTCCCCATGAGCCAGGGACAGTGTTCCTCACAGCTGCCTCCACAGAAAGGTGCTCAGGATGTGCATGGCCAGGCCAAGTGGCCTCACCACTGCCCTGGATCCGCTCCTGGATCCAACCCACCTGCTGGGGCCGTGCTGCTTGCCCTGCAGCTGGCACTCATGGGACAAGGCCTGGGCCAGGCAAGGGCATAGCAGTGATGGGGACAGGAGCTAGCAGGCACTGGACCTTCATATGAGGTCCCTCCTGGAAAGGGAACCCAGCAAAAACCTGAAAATGATATACAGGTGTCTGGCACAGGCAGAGGTTTCCCTCTTTTGAGTGGTCTCCCCTGGGCTGGGCTCTGTGAGCTGCCTCCAGAGAGGGCTGGGGAAGTGCTGCATCACTGTCTGAGTGCAGCTGACCACCAGCACCAGATGACCACTCTGCATTCCCATTGCCCTGCACATCCACAGCTGCACTGAGCACCAGGATGCTCTGTGTGCCTGTGCTCCAGCAGCACCAGGAGACCAGCCTGGCCCTGGGGCTCAGAGCTAGCCTGAGGGAGATGATTTACCTTTCCTCTGTGCTGCTCCTGGTCAGGTATTGTGTCTGAGCTGATTTGACTCACCAGATCCGTATTTGTCCTGGCACCACGTTGACCTCACAGGGCTGAGAGGGAGCTGTGCCTCCCCCAGTGCCTCCCCATGCACTGATTCCATTTCCCTGTATTTCCCCATGCAGATGGCTGTGCAGGCAGGTCAAAAGTTTTCTATTCCATCCCCAAGTTTTTGTAAGCCAAGCCCAGCCCTGTCAGAGGTAAAGCAGCCTCCACCCTATGAGGATGCAGTGAAGCAGGTAACTGCATGGTTTTTGTTTCCTACAGGGCCAGGGCTGCTCAGGGTGTCCTTTGTGGTTAATGGGACTCAGCTGCAGGAGCTCCAGCCCTTTCTGGGGGCTCTGGGTAGGACAGGCCTGTTTTCCTGAGGCTTTTTTTGAAGAGTTAGGCACTGCCTGCCTGCCACGAGCAGTCAGGCACCACATGGGGTGGGATAGCATCTGCTGACACCCCTACACATCCCAGTGATGTGCCAGCACTTTGGGGTGCTCAGTGCTATATGAGGAACAGACCCCTGAGCTTTCCCAATCTCCAGGAATCCTCACCTTCCCTCTTCAGTCCTGCTCCATGCCATCTGCCTCCCTGAGCCTTACCCCAGAGCACTGTTTCCATGGGCAGAACTGCACCTCTTTCTTCCCAGGAGACTCTGGCAGCAGCCTCGGTGCTGGGAATGCTGATGCCTTCAGGAAAGTGAAGTGATGCTGCTGGCAGTGATGGAAATGGGTTGTGCTGGCTGGCAGAGAGGCAGGAAGCCCTTCCAGTTCCCAGCCAGGGAGATGAGGATGACTGGGCAGTGCAGGGAGTGCAATCAGCTGTATGAGGTGCTAGGTCAGTGTGTCCTGATGGCCCTGGGAAGAGCCAGGCTGTGGTGGCCGCTGAGCAGAAGGTCAGCAGCAGGACAGGGAGCCTTGCTCCCTGGATCCACTTCCTGGATCCACTGTGAGTGTCCCAGGTCCCTGCAGAGCTCACCTGAGCTCTGCTGTCAGCCCCGTGTTGGTGTGGCCTCTTCTGCGTGGCAGGAAGCCGTTTGTGGGGTCTAGAGCCATCTCTTTTGGGGTCTAGAGCCATCTGCCTGGCTTGTGGCTGGAGGGATGCTCCTCCTAACGTCCTCTACTCTCCTCTTTGTCGTTTGCTGCAGCAGATGACACGAAGTCAGCAGATGGACGAGCTCCTGGACGTGCTGATTGAGAGTGGAGGTACGCACTGCTCCCTGTTCCCCTCCAGGGCTTCCCCTCCCAGCCAGCACTGGTCTGCAGGGCTCAGAGCATCCTGTGCCCCCAGCAGAGCTGCCTGAGTTGGGTGCAGCTT